ATATATATATATATATATATATATATATATATAATTTTTTTATTATTTTTCGTTCCGTTCGGTAGCATTCGGTCCGCGTACCGGTATGCCGTCGAATCGATACGTACCGCCGGTACCAGACGGTATCATTCGGTATTGCCTACCTTGGTTAGGACTCTAGCTAGGAGAGTCCTAATTGAGTTTCATTGAAAGGGGCATTCATGTAAAACCTACCAAGCCAACCCCTATTAAAGAGGTGAAGAGGCTGGCTAAGGTTAGGATTAGTTTGGAAGTTGCTTCTTAGAGAATCATTAAGAGTTGGTTAGAAGTAGGAGTCTTGAGTAGAAGTCCTATTAGGAGTTGGGGTTTAGAAGCCCTACAAATAGTCATGTATTCCTCCTCTTTTCTAAATGAATAAATCAATCCTTTTAGCAACCTTTAAGCAGCAACCTGGAGGAAGGAACCCCTATAGAGTTCCAAGGAGGCTGATCCCCTAAAGAGATCAACCCCAAGTTTAGAATCCGCAAGGGTTCTATCAATTCCCTAGATTAGATAACTGATAAATGAAAATGTTAGTAAAAATGTTATGTAGGCGTGCATTCTCATTTGCCAGGCCAGGAATAGGATAATGATTACTGACTGATGTTAGTATTTATGACGATCATAGGAAATTGAGTTGCAGAAATGCTAGTACATTGTTCCTGCAAATCAACGCCAACACTCTCCTTGTTCAAACAAAAGGTTCATAAACCATCTTCAACTTCCATGAAAACCTCGATTCAGTCACTAGTGACAGATTCTGAGTAGCATTGATACAAACATGTCTATCAGGCTATTAGATGGACAATTCATATTTTAGCTGCGAAAAGAAAGCATAACTATAAGATTGAATTTGAAGATGGGCTCATCATGTGGAATTTACTTTAAAAGATCAAATTATTCTGCTCCCAAGAGAAACCATACATTTACCTGCTAAACATACAACTATAAAAGCATACACAGTTTGTATCTGAATGGAGAAAATATACTGTGACACTCAAAATCATCAGTTTCTTATACTCTCTGACCTCTGTACTCTGGTTAAATTTGACTATCACTAGCTCTACAACTTAAGTGACTGCAATCAAAATGAACAAAGGTATCAATGCACATAGCAATCCTAAATCCTATGATTCTGATCTCGTGATTCTTGGCCAGAAAGGCGAATCTTAGTACCACCACATCACTAATATTAGCATAGGTATGATTTCTTTTAAAGAACTCCAAAAGGCAGAAATAGCCTTGCTCTTCATGTAAGATGTTAGATATCTAATATATCAGCTCATGGATCCTATGATTGTGATCGTTTGTATACAACTATGACAAAATGTTAAAACCGTATGGGTGCGAGATAGTACAGGCAGATGAAGTTTAGAAAAGGGTTCCCCACCGTACAGTTGATCACGTAGATCGACTGACATACACTGATACGAAGCTTCCAAACTTGGAAATTGTAATTTATAGGACAAATTTCTCCACAAATAAACTTTACAATAAACAACAAGCATAACCATGAGATGTTGCAAATGGAACGATAGAGTAAAAACCGACAAAGCTGAAACTTCACCGCAGGTAACATCACCTGTGAACTGGTCGGAGAAAAAAATGGCCATTGCAGCCTGCAGCTCCTGCTTTCCGCCGGCGAAGGGATCTAATCGACACGCTCAAAGGATGGCAAACAACAAGAGACTTGTCGGACACCTTCGAAGTATAGCCTAAACGTAAAACATCAAAACAAAACGATCATAAGCCAATGGAACGCCACGAATCTGCCGATTAAATAAAGAACTAGAAAATATGAATCATCAGCTCAGGAACACGATACGTAGAGCAATCGATCCAATGCGTTACAGTAGAATCCATTAGAGAGATGGGGGACAACAAAAACCCTAAAATCTTGAGATTCTTGAAACAGGAAAACCAACGCTACGATCCTAAAAATCGAGGCGAGAAGACCACCGGAGAGCGCTTGCAATCGGGGGCCTCTAACGGAGACTAGGGGATTCGCGATTGCCGCCGTTGCGACCTGTTTGTTAGATTTTGTGATCGTTTGTTTTATAATTGAATAAGATATATAATATAATAACTAATTAGATTCCGTTCAAATATTTTAGTCAATAGACTGAATCCAGATAAGATGAGAGGAAATGGAGGAAATCTGGCACACTGCCACATACGCACGATTTCATTTCTCCCCCAAAACCCTTTCTCCAAAAAAAAAAAATTCAATCTTAGTGGGTAGAGGAGAAAGGATCTACTCCTTGTAGATGGTGACGGTGCTTACAACTTTGAATCGGTAGCTACAATAATCTTGGATCAAAGATGGTGCTTAGCAGATCAAAAGAGATCCCTGAGGAGATGACATCAAAAGGTACGTATCGTAATAATTAGATCTATATACTTGATTTCAATCTTGGCATATAAGTTATTTCCACGTTTTAGATATAGCATAATTATAGATTTTATGCTTACAATTGGTATTAGAGCCTGGTTTTTGAGATCAAATGCATTAGATCTGTAAATTTATTTACGATGCATAAAATTACCTTCATCTTTCAAGAATTGCTAAGCAGCAATGGTCAGCGTCGACCTCGCTGCGAATCTGCGATCACGCTAGGTAACGTGTGCATCACAGAACCCGTCCCGTATGCAGGCATCACAGAACCTGTCCATACGACGGCCGGCCGCACACGGTTAGAACTCGTCCATGCGACGGTCTGCCACACGCAAGCAGATAGCCCAGGTGGCAACCATGCGTGAGTAGGTTGTGCACAGGTGGCGGCCACGCGCTGGCAACAGCCACGTGCGAGCAGGAACCGTCGCAGCGGCAACGGTCGTGCGTGAATAGTAGCAGCCTCGTGGCGGTAGCGCCGTGGTAGCAGCGACCGCGCACAGGCTAGAACTGCCGTTGACAACTGCGCACAGGCGGCCACGTCGCAGGCAGCAGCGACGAAGGCAGATTAGGGTTTTTGGCATAATTATGGTTTTACCCTCGAGGCTAGGTTTTGTAAAATTATAGTTTTACCCTTTGCAAATTTCGTAATTTCAGGTTATGTTCTGTCAACATATTTATGGTTTTACCCTCGTGTTTAATTTATGCCAAAATTATAGTTCTGCCATTCGCATATTTCTGATTTATTATATTTCAAATATTTATGATTTTATCAAAATTAAGAAATTTAGTTTATATTCTCAATTATAAATTGATAAATATGATTTATTATAATTATGATTAATTTTAATCATAATTATATTTTTGATTATTTGATTGGATTTAATTTTTGATTTAAAAAAACTATAAATTATGGTTTACTTTATAGTTTTCTCATATTAATTATTGATTATACATGTGGTAAATAAAATTAAAATCCAATTATTGTTTTTGGAATTTTATTTACTTATTCACACATATATATATATATATATATATATGAAATTATGAAATTATATATACCTTTCACATGCATGATTTATATAAATTATTGATTATACATGTGGTAAATAAAATTAAAATCTAATTATTATTTTTAGAATTTTATTTACTTATTCACATGTATATATATAAATTATGAAATAATGTATACATTTCACATGAATGCATGATTTATATAAATTATTGATTTTACATATGATAAATAAAATTAAAATCCAATTATTATTTTTGGACTTTTATTTATTTATTTATATGTATATATATGAAATTATGAAATAATATTTACCTTTCACATGAAGGCTAAATCTAATATTCAATAATTATTATTGTTATTTATTATTGAATTGCTTAGCATTAATGTTCAATAATTATTATTGTTATTTATTATTAAATTACTTAGCATTAATATTTAATAATTATTATTGTTATTTATTATTGAATTGCTTAGCATTAATGTTCAATAATTATTATTGTTATTTATTATTGAATTGCTTAGTAATAATGTTTAATAATTATTATTGTTATTTATTATTGAACTGCTTAGCATTAATATTCAATAATTATTATGGTTATTTTATTATTGAATTGCTTAGTAAAAATTAAAAAATTGATGAATATTATTTATAATTTATTTTCCTAAGTTTTATCTGACTAGTAGTTGCCAAAGTAGAGGATAATAGATTTTTGTGATATGAATTATAATAAAAGTTTTATCATTTATATGATTTTTTTATTTTATATTATTGCATTAGTCTTGTAGCCACCAAAGTAGCCTAGACTAATGACTTATAAAATAATATTAAGGAATTAGTCTTAAACGACATTAAGAAAATAATATTCATAATGACACATATAATTATGAGATTTAGATAATCCCAAAGGAGAATCTAATTCAAATAATTATATGATGAGGTAGGATGATACTATTTTTGGATATCATTGTAGTTTAGGGTTGTATACCCAAAGGTAACAATACTATTCCACAAAGATGGTATCAGTCCCCCATAAATATTCTTGAGTGAACATTAGATATGTTAATATTTCACCCAAAGGTGTAATATAGATGATATCAATAGTTCATCAAAATTTTGACAAACTCAAAGTATTAATGTTATTCTATATTTTTGTAGTGGTACTTCCGCATATACATTCATATGCTTCAAGTGTCCCTATACTCTCTTGATCAAATTATTCAGAATGGTTAGAATATGTGCAATTCACACTAGGTGTATTAGATCTTGATTTAGCATTACTTGTTGAAAAGCCTGACTTGACTGATGAAAGTACTGTAGAACAAGTAAATGAAATGAAGGGGGAACAATCTGATAGACTTAGTTTAATGTTCATAAGAATGACAATTGCAAATAACATAAAGACTATTGAATCTCGTATTTTGATGATGAAACTACTTGATATATGTTTATGATTTAATCTGCGTTTTGAGTGACGCAGGATGCTTCGATCTGGATGAGACAATTAAAGCAGGAAAATCATGTTGTGCCGGAGGAACATGTCAGAAGATTGGACGTCGGGCCGGTGGATCGGTTGACGTATCGACAGAAGGCTTCGGGACGTAGACTCGGGCATCGAGCCAAGAAGAGCAGGTATTGTGCCAAGGATATCGGAGTTGCGGAGTCAACTGGCCGATTGGGCAATAGGCTGCAAGAAAGGACGATGCACCGAAGAATCGGACGAAGCGTCGAGGGACCAATGATATGCCGGACAACTTGGTTAATTGCTTAGGATTAATTGTCTCGATCGAAGTTTTTGTTTTGAGTGTGCGGGATTAACTACGATGAAAGTTAAACAAGCAGCAGGAGTTGCGCCGGAGTCAAGTTCATGATCACGTTGGGAGTTCGAGAGTTCGATGGAAGTTCGGACGGTCGTCGGAGGTTCTGCGAGAACAGATCCGAGAAGTCCAGAAGCTTGCCAAGCGAAGCTCGTCGGAACTCGCCAAGTGGATCGTCGCAAAGTCCAGGAGTTTGCCGGAAGTCCGCAGGAGCATCACCGAGGGTTCATCGAATGATCGACGGAAGTTCGCCAGAAACTCGCCGGAAGAAGCGATTGACGCACCGAAGCAAAGCTACAGAAATTGTCTTAGATCTAATCGTAGTTAGCACGTTGATTAAGTTGGAAAATGGGAGATGATCCCATTAGCTTATTCTTGGGGCAATTGGGCCCCTGAAAGACTGAAATTGGGCCGAATGGAGCTAACCATTCGGACCCTGATTGCACC